TATCATGTATTTATAGGGACAACATCTTGTAATTTTCCCATATGGAGAAGGGTGGTTTCCAAGTTAGAATAGGAACATCTACTTGCAATATTAGAACAAGAGTTCAAAGATTTATGGGTTTCTAGCTATGAATTAATTGTATTATGTAATTCAGTAGAAACACGATGATGAATTGGTAAACCAAGTAGAAAAATTGGACCTTATTATTTTAGAATTTTATATTATATGGAATTAATATTTAGATATATATATATATATATATATATATATAAGAGGTTTTTTTTAAACAAGACTTGTTTCCCAAGTTCCATCTACAAGGAAAGTTTTTCCTAGTGAGAATCCACATTCTGACTTCATAATAAAAAAATTAATTTGTCTGTGTGATTATATATCACGGAAGCCAAAAAAAAAAAAAAGGTAGGGTTAGCTATATTATCCTTACCCAATTGAACTACTTTATTTTATATTATTTTTTGACACGAAGTGTTTTATCTAAATTCTCCTTATCAATACCCATTCTCAATTTTTCATCATTTGTTATTTCCTCTTTACTCAGCCAAATAATAGGAGTGAAAAATGCATATTCGTTTATTAACAATCAAATCAAATATTACTTACTCATCAGATCTTTCTTCATTAATTATATTTCATTTCAAGATTGTAATTGAAATCAAAAGTAATACACATACCATAAATTCACCAACTCTTGAGTACACATTATCTGTATACATGTATCTCTATCCTTGCAATTAACACATTCTCTCTCTCAATATATATATATATATATATACACATGCGTATATCCCTGATTGTGGAAGGTCGGACAGAGATAAGAGGTGGTAGAGGAAGGAGGAGCATTAAGAATGGATAACAGAGAGTGTGCTGTGTTTTTGATGGTGTTACTCATAGGATCAGCCATACTCATATTTCCATACTATATGCAACCTGAACCTCCTGCTATATTGGCCCTGCTCTTCTCTCTCATCCCCATCTCCCTTTTCTTCTACTTCTTCTACCTTGCCATCTTTGTGTGGTGAAACCACAAGACTCACTATTGTTTTATGTATGTTGTTCAGTCTTTAACTAAATGTTATATCATTATTCAAACATTTTCATATGTTTAATATGTTTGTCTTCTTGTTCAGAATTATATATCTTTCCATAATTTTTTTTTTTTTTTTTTTTTTTTTTTTTTGTCTAACACATGCTTGAGTTGGTGCTAACAAATATTGCTGTTATGAAATACAATTCATAACTGACGTATATATGAATTGTGATACTCAATTAAATTAAAATGCTGAACTTGAGAGAGGGAGTGCAAGTCTCATTACTTCCAAATCTTTTCACCTGTTTGCTGGTGTGGAATGAATTTATTTACCAATTAAATTCATCTTCTTCTTTTTTTTTTTGAAAGGTAAAAATAAAGTATTTAAATTCACATTGACTTAAGTCGTGCATACATTTTTTCTGACAGTAAGAAGCAAATGAACATTTTTGTACATTAGAATTGTTCACTGGTCACTGATGTGGAAAGAATTGATTCCCAAATTACATACATATATATATATATAGAGAGAGAGAGAGAGAGAGAGAGAGAGAGAGAGAGTGTGTGTGTACTGTATATACAGTAAAAATTACAGTATAAAAGAAAATGATATTGACATTCCAAAAATATCTCTGACACTCCCAGTTCAAATCTATATAGAGAATTGTTGTGTGTAAATCTCATCGTTGGATAAAGAAACAAAAAAAATCTTTTTTTTTTTAACTAACAAATGGAAGGAATCTAACAGTTTATATTTAAGTCGGGCATAAATTTACCCAACGTAGAAGCAATGGCATAACTAAATATGGGTCGGTTTGGTGACTAAAGTTGCTTTGTATTTTGTTTTTTTTTTTTTTTATTATTCGAAACATAAGTAATGTTTCTATTTTTAGAGTGTGTTTAACACTATTTAAAAATTTGTTTGGTAATATAAATTTTTACAAAATTTTTAAAAGCAAAAATATGAAAACATATTTGATAAAAAATATTATAAGTTTGTAAATTTGAATGGTTAGTTAAAAATGTTATTTTAGAAAGAAATTTTTTTTTTTTTGAACAATACTTTGTTATAGTGTAGAAACAAACAAAATTATCATTTTAATGCTTCCAATTTTATAAGCAATTCGGTACTAATCAAAAGCATAGAAAATATTACCAACATGTTTCGCACATTTGTTTTGCTACAATACACTAGTAAAAGTAAAAAAATACAAAACATAACAGGCCTATATAACCTACTAATTAATCCAACAAATCTTATTATATGCATGCCCTCGCGGTAACCACTTAGAATAATGAAAGATTATAAAATTCTTTTGATATTTATATTCAAGAAGTGGAGTGTGGTACGTTTTTTTTTGGAGCCCTAATAAAATTATATTGACATTCCAAAAAAAATCTGTGACACTCGCAGTTCAAATATATAGAGAGAATTGTTCCTCTACTAGTGTGTAAATAATTTATTAATAAATTAAATATTCATTATTGGATAAAGAAACAAAAATTATATTTTTAACTAATAAATGAAAGGAATCAAAAACTGTTTATATTTACATTTAATTTTTTGCGCAGGAAGTAAAAAAATGAGATTATCACGAATACAACAATCAACATACAACACATTTAAAAATAAAAATAAAAAAAAAAGTAACCAAATTTACCCGAGGTAGAAGCAATGGCATAAGTAAATATATAACCTATTATATGCACGACCTCCAGCATTTAGCGGTAACCACCTAGAATAATGAAACGGATTATGAAATTCTTTTGATATTTATATTCAAGAAGTGGAGTGTGGTAGGCTTTGTTTTGGAGCCCTAATATTACATCCAAAAAAAAAAATTGATGTATGCCAAACAAAAAAAAAAACTATTTTAAACCTAGTTTTATCTGCTATTTTCTACTATTTCACACTATAAAAAATATAATAATAACAAAAATTTCCTTCCTTAGTAAATATAGTTAAAGGGTGACCAAACAGAAAATTAGGGTCTCATCTTTATTATCAACAGTGATCCACACGCAATCATATGATCAAATAAATAATACATGCATGTAAACTGGTAAGATTCAACAAATGCTAACTACATGAGCATTAATTTTACCAGCCAAAAAGAAAAGGAAAAAAAAAAAAAAAATGTGTACTGTGTATACAGTAAAAACTAAAAGAAGAATCTAATCCTTAGAGGCATGAGAGAGGTATATGAGAATGGCCACCATGGCGACAGGGAAGATGAGAAGTATATAGAGCGGAGGCGATTGGACCGAACCCATAGCAAAAGGAAGAAAGATGAGACAGGCAACCACGATCAGCATCATCACTACTGATCCAGCCCCCCACCTATACTCCTCCATCTTCAATTCTTCTTCTTTTTCAAACACCAATTTAACCTGATAAAAGCCAATGGTTAGACACACATATATCAATGTATATATACACGTATATGTAAGTTGTATCCATAATTGTTGGATATGTATGGCGTCGCTTCGCAGGAGATACACCGGTTGCCTGTGGATGCATCATGCCGGTTCAGTATTGTCAAAAATGGTAAGATGACGTTTTGCAGATTGTTGCTTTTTTTAACCGCCGAAGTCCAACATTTACTGCGGTTAACAACATCCCCATGAACACCCGTTGTCCAATAAAATTGCAACAAAGTGTCAAATTTAAATTAGACACCCTCTAATTTTTACTTTTGAATATGTGTTTTAAATCTTAATTTTTATTTTTAAATATTTATTTTAAATCTATTAGACAACATTAACAAATTGGATAAAGTTAAATTGAACCCAAATATTATTCATTTTTTACCCACAACAACATGATTAGAAACACACGCATTGACCCCTAATCAAAAATTTTGATGGGAATAAAATATTTTCACGGCTCTTCTCCATGTATAATTACTTATATATTAAAAATTAAGTTTAATAAACTATTATATTACTATTACATACTACTACCGGTCTAAGTTTAGTGGCAGTTTGTGAAGTTGAGCTTCAAGTAATGCAAGTTCTTTCATAACCAATAAAAATTGAATAACCATTGTCGGAATTCAAATTTGTCAAAATGAAAGGAGTTACGTGAGTGGGGGTGGTGGGTCCATTACATTATATTGTGATCCAAAATAAGTTAAGTGAGCGGGGTTTATGATCTCAAATTGAGTTATGTGAGTAGACCCGCAGCTGAAATTGAGTTCATTGAGTTCTCACACCGGACAAGTTCGAATTTTGACAACATCTATTACAGCAGACAATTGTTAAAAGTGTCCGATGTCGGATCCAAATAAAGTTAAAAGGGTACAAATGAGCGAATATGCAACACTACTTAAAGGTTTAAACTTTTGAGTTAAAAGGCAAGCATCTTACCCGTTACAATTAGTATTAAAGGCTTACCGAAAGGTGTCCCGAACTTCTGGGGCCTCACCCGGGTAAACAAGGTGACCCGAGCCGCAATGAGAATATTTCAAGTTCGGAAGCGAGTAAGCATAACATTTTTGTATCAAGAGAAAAATATATGGTTTTAGCATTGGAATCTCATGTACTGCTGAAGAACAACGTTGTGGGGATGGAGTGGTTTAAAAGAGCTAATCAGAGTTGCTCTGCATTGCAGTTTTTCAAGTACCTGCTGTTTGAGAGGCTTTTGATTTTCCATTTTGTATTTTCTTCTCTGTTCTTCCACATGAAGAGTTGGGTTTCTCACTAATGTCGCAGATGCTTCGGCACCTTATATATATATATAGTTCTGCGTGTACGAACTGAACTTGGATGATCTTCGCCATTCAATCCTACAATGACCCAACAGAACTAATCATACGAGGACTTGGCATTTGCAGTTTGCAAAGAGCATGTTATCCATTGACTTTAAATGGTTCTGTGACACTGATGTGGTGCACTTGAAGGCAGAGCTTGCAACACAGTTGCGAAAAAGTCAAAACACAAAAAAGAAAATGCCTGATTCGCCAATCATTCTCTAATAATTTGGCAAAATAAAATGACAAGAAAACATTCTATAACTGTAGTGTATCATTATCACGAAATTGATTTGAGACTATGAAAACAAAGAACGAGAGGAAAATTTTGTTTCATGTCCAAACTAAAGCTAAACCTTTTTGAGTCCATGGAATCCTCTAGCCATGGGAAGGGAATTCAACACACTTCCTTTTCCTCTCAAGTTGATCATCTTCCTCTTCATTTTCTTCCCCTTCGATATTCCCTTGATTTTCTTTAGTATCAGCTTCGAATCTTTTCCTTTGAGGAATTACCTGAAAGAATGAAGCCTTCCAGTCTCTTGTTTCCAAGAACTTGAGGAGTATCTCTATCACTTGATTCACAGTAAGGACCTGCAGTCACATGGAGAAATAAGGGGAGGGTTAGAAAATTTTGTCACTTGTGACGAGGATTTATGATACTTTTCAAGAACACAAACTCTTTATGGTTGGTAAAGCAATATTAGTCATTCCAAAAAACAAGACAAACCTGCAATAATTTTTTTTTTTTTTTTTTTTTTTGACCATTTTACTAGACAGAGAGGGAGGGGGGAAATAATAATTTGAGAGATTTTCCTCTTCTTTTTTGTAAGTTTAATAGCATTTATCTCTAAGTAGCATAAATATATCTCAATGCTGGGGCTATTAGAACCGGTCTTGTACACTCATAGGATATCTAGATGGTACTTTCTAAGTGGCATAGCTATCTTCTTGTCAGTACTAAACACTTTTTAATTTCAACAATGAACGGTATCTCTCAAGTCTCTACAAAGGAGTTCGTGTATAAGTACTCAAAAGACCAACCTTGCATCCATAATTTCTATCCCATAAATTCCCCTCCTCTAAGGCTCCAACCCCTCACAGAAAGCAGGATTCAATCTATCAAAAAATTATTAGTTAGGCTAGTTGTTACCTTCATAATGTTAGTTTCATGATCTGTTACTTTATAAAAAATGATTTGTTAATGTAGATTCAGTAATAAAAATTCCACTAACATAATTAAGAATATCAATTAAGCTATTTCTAAAATCACATTTGACAAAATTGCCCCCTATTTTCAGAACATGCACCAGTGTAGGTGAAAATACACTAAGAAATCATTAAAATGCAAACTACAAAACTGTAATTTGCTGTTTTGAGAAAGTATCACGATATTTATTATAAAATCTTTGCATTCCATCGTTAGGTAATGGTGTTTAACTGAAGGTCCAAATAGCTCTCCCAAGTGCTCCTGGGCCGACCAACTGGTGCAAAGTCCATTATCACCAATTACAGTCCAAACAGCATAACCACCACCATTCTTTTAGTGGTTCACAGCACTAAGGGTACAATTTGGCATGTAAACTTGTCATTCTAACCTCCTAAATTTAATTCTGGGTCATACTTAACCAATAAAACAGATAATAATATCCTACATTTCTAAATTTATGCATGACGCTTTGTCTTCCTTGATAAAATAAACTGATAGATTAAATTGTAAATGACTTGGAGGTTTATTTATGCTTCCAGATTTGCAGCTCCCATTCCACATTCGTAATTTAGCAAATGATCTTTCCATTCAATTATATGCAGTGTAAGCAACACAGATTGTAGAGCAACAACTGCTGCCAAAGCAATATAAATACCCAGCCAAAAAGAGAACCAACAATTGCACGTAGGTCTACTTATGCCTCAAAAGAAGTATATTTATATCCCAATAAGAAAAGATGTCCATAAAGAGAATTTCCAGGAGGCAAGGAAAAAGGCAAAGACCAACTATACCTGGGAGCTAGACAACTTAAGGTAGTTTCCTATAGGAAGTTTAGCCGTTTGAATCCCCTGCTCTTTTGCTTTCTTCATGGTTAACCCTTTCCAGCGGTTACGATCCACTAACCCACCAATGATGTATATTTTCTTTAGATCAAGTTCATCCAGGGTAGTTTCTGAGTCTGCTGTGAGATAGACCAGATTTTCCTTCTGATCTTGAAATGCTTCAATATATGGTTGAGTCTCCTTCTCAATTACCCACTTCTCAAATCCTGGGAGTCTTTGCAGTTGGCTTTCCATCTCTCCCTGGCACCCGGTCAACCAAAGATGGCCAGGGGAAGCACTTTTTCCATTTACTGCATAACAATACATAATCTGCATGCTTTCATCAATAACAGTGGGTGCACTGGCAATCAGCAAAAATGGTAATGCTAATTTTAAAATGATCACAAACAACTCTGGTAAAATAAAATAAAAAATAACCATACCAATAAGAAAATAAAAAAAAAGATCAAAGAGCATGTTCTCTAATGACCATGTACTTCTGTATCTTTGGCTCAGCCTCCTGAATCTTGGTGGGGCAGGGGCAAATTTGTGAAGCCCCTACCTCACAGCTGAAGATTTAAATAGTGTGTCAGGAGGAACGGCATATTTCCCATTACTCTGAATCATAGGGGAATTGTCCGGCTATATTGCGCAAGAATATTAGGGTTTATAGAAGGTTTTGCACCTCCCAAGATCTATAATTGCGTCAAAAGGTCCAATATATATTTGATTGGACTTTTTGAATAACAGTCAATAATAAGATCTTGTGAAAATTGAACATCTTCGCATAGAAGATGTAATTTTGATATGTAATAAGAACCAGTGTGCTCAGGCCCCAGGGTGCCAAGGAGGCGCTTGTTTAATAGCTTGAGCTTCTTTATTAGATGGTGCTAATGAGTAATGGCTATATCAGAGAGGACAAAGTTACCTTGTTCAAATTTCATGATTACCCAAACATGGTTATATTTCAGCCCTTTGAAAAAATAAAAATATAAAACATAACCATAACAATAAAATAAAAAATATATATATCAAAGTGCCTGTTCGCTATTGAATTCAAATGTTCGTTTATTCAATAATCCACAAAACAGCAGTGTATTCCTTATCATATTCATAAGAGAATTGTCCAGTTATGAATTGCGCAATAATATTAGGGTTTATGTAAGGTTTTGCACCTTCCAGGCTGACAGCATTTTCTTCAAAAATTAGTAATGAATTTTTATAATTAAAAAACAACAAAACATTATTAGGGCAAAGAAAGTGACAGAAGCTAATAAGACCTGTTGAACAAGGCTGTTGATCTCGGAAGGCGTCATGAGATCGGAGAACTCGAGGTCGACGACGATGTTCTGGCCCTCTTGTTTGGCTCTGCTGAGCCTTTCCATCTTCTTCCCTCTCTCCTCCGACCTTTTCTCCATTCTCTCCTTCCTGAGCCCCTTTCTCGACTCGATCAGCTTCGACCTCTCTTCCTCGGAAAGGCTCAACAGCTTTTCCTCCCATTCCTTTCTCTTCCTCTCTCCCTCTCTCTTCTTCTGATCTTTCATGGCGGCCTTCTTCTCTGCTTTCTTTGCTTCGAACTTCTGCTGCTTCAACAATTTCTTGTGCGCGGTCTTCGACAGCAGAGGTTGAGAGGAAGGTGGAGGAGGATCGACTTCACCGTCATTGGTGGGGTTGTCAGGGGTGTTTTCGTCATTTTTGGTAGACTCCATGGTTTGCATTTTTGCAGAGAAGAGTCGCCGGATGTGTGACCGCGCTTTGTTTGTTTTCCTTTTTTGGGGACGGGGTCTCGAAGCTGGATGGTTCTGTTTGTGATCCGACGAGAAAGCAACAAAATTAAACGGCGCCGTAACTGAATATTAGTTTGTCAAGAAATATGAGTGATGAGGCTCACCTAGACAATAAAATTATTGTGATCACATATTAAAATCGCTTCTCTTCTTAAAACGTGGATATTTGTAATCGTTTTTGCTTTAAATTCATGTTTCAAAGTATGTTTAATGGTTATTGAAAGCTAAAATTTGATGCAATATTTTTTGTAAGCAAAGACATTAAAATATGTTAGGTAAAAATGTATTGTGAGTTTAAAAAATATTTTTGCTATGATGTGAAATTCTAAAAATTAATTTGGCGCTTCAAAACTTTTTTTAGAAAATATTTACCAAATATGTTTTCGTTTCTTGCTTTGCTACATTCAAAGCAAAATCCAGCAAAATGTCCGCATTGGAGTAGCCGCATGGTTCCAGTGGGGGCAATTGGATAAAAATCCTCTCCGGCGATACAGGGAATTTGTCCCAGCCGGTGACTGATCTACGGTTCTAGTAGCGCCATGTCGCATAAGTGGGGATGGGTTAAATTTTTTTACTGCATACTACGAGTATAATACTTTATACAAAATACCAAATTTCAACAGACGACACTTTTTCTTCTTCCCTCCCAAAACCCTAAGGCTTCGTTTGGATACACAGGAAAGAAATAATGGAAATGATTATAAGAGAAAAAAAAAAAAAAAAAAAAAATGATAGATATAATAATATTCATGTTTGAATGGATGGGAGAGAAAAGAAAGGAATGAGTAATATTTTTGTTTAGATAGATATAAAAGAAAATAAATGAATGAATAATTTACCATTTTACCCTTCTCTCAACCAAGCTTGCCCCTTCTCTCAAGGTTGCTTTTATAATTTGCTCTATTTCTCTCCAAATCTTGTCAATTTTGGAGGGATTCCAAATGAGGGATTTGGAGGGATTGCTATCCCTCCAAATCTCTCCAAATCATTTATTTTCTCTCATATTCCTCCCATCCAAACACACTCATCACTGTCATTCCCTTTCTTTTCTCTCCAAATCCTTCTAAATCCTTCAATCCGAACGAAGCCTAAATTCTTAACATTATCTTATCAAAATCTTTGGTTTTGTGTCGATTGATTGATTCGGGATATATGTGTTTGAATCATTTGTTGTTAGTGTTATATCTTTGGTTTTGCTATTGATTGGTGAGAAAAAGATTTCCATGGTTCTCAAATTAGATAGCTAGATAACTATATGGTTTTGCAATTGATCGGTGGGAAGACAATCTCCACGATTCTAAAATTGGATAAATTCATCTGAGCATGACAAAACCTTTTATACATATATATATATACACACACGCACACATAAACACGTATTGATGTATATATATCAGTTTGTACCAATATCCCAACCATCTCTTTCTCTTGTTTGGGATACATGATAGGAAAATTTTTGAACATTGGTCTTGTATTACAACATTTTCTTAATGTACATCTCAACTTTTTTCTTATTAGTATCCCAACATTTTTCTAACGTACATCCCAAACAAGATAAAGAGATGATAATGTAATGTTGGTAAGGAGAAAGTTGGGATATAGGTTTGAAAAATGTTGTGATATACAATTTGTACCAATATATGTTTATTTTGGTCTTACATCACAAAATTTTCTTAATGTACATCCCAATTTTCTCCTTACGCTTCCCAACATTTTTCTAACGTATATCCCAAACAAGAGTGTGATGTTGGTAAGGAGAAAGTTGGGATGTTGATAAGGGGAAAGTTCGGATGTAGGGTAGAAAAATGTTGTGATATACAATTTATATCAAGATATGTTTATGTATGTATTTATACAATAAGTGGGATGTTGGTAAGGTGAAAGTGAGGATATAGATTAGGATATACAAGAAGTTATAAGTTAGGGAAATGTTTATGTAAAAAAAAAAAAAAAAAAAAAAAGAAGAAGAAGAAGAAGTAAGAAGTTGGTCTGGTTTTGATTTGGTCCCATATGTATGTGTGTGTATATAGAAAAGTTTTCCTTTTCAATTTTTAACCTTATGCATTTTTACTTTTCTAATTTACTCACCGGTTGGCTGTAGCGCCGGAGAGGATTTCGGTCTGGGGGCAACTACCCGCACTAGACTTTGCTTTAATTATAGTTTTGTATGAAAATTTATTAATTATTATATAATTGCCTCCACTGATATTTTGTAAAATTTTCAAAGAGGCCTAACAATTTACCCAAAATTCAAAAATAGGTACAACATTCCTGAGCCCACGACGCAAAATTCCCCAAATGTCACTTTGTAGTGGTGTTATAGTACTTTTAGGTGTGAAATGACAATGATACCCTTTTGACTTTGTGTTGAATTTAAAATGACTTAACTGTGTAACGACCTATTTTAAATTACTAAAATATCTTAAAATTTAACTCTCTCTTCTCACAGAGTATATATATAATATATATACATATTATATACTTTTGTCATGAGTCATATAGCAAGTTAAAGTATACTCAAAACATATTATTGGCATTTATATAACTATTGATCCAAAAGGGACACGAGAGAGAACAGGGTAGTAAAATCAGAGAGATCAGAGAAGGATTGATCAAAAGATTTGTATTAGATAATAGTTAGATTAAAGTGTCAGAATCAAATTCACAGCAAAAAAAATACATCTTTGTAATCTTTTGAACCTACTTTTCCAACACAGATCACTAAATTGCAAATTAGAACTCAACAAAGAAAGTTTTGATTGAATAAAAAATGAGAGCTGAACATAAAAAGTCTTGTTAGCTGTAAATATATATATATATATATATACACGTATGAGATTTGACTTAACTTAAAAGGGTGTCGTTGTAATTTATCTTAAAATATATACTTATGTATATATATAGAGAGAAAGAGAGACTGATGTCACGGGCTTAGAGTTTCAGTACCACTCTAGCTGCTCCCGTGCGGCACCAAGACGTTGCTTTCACTCTCGCAAGTACTTGGTTAGCCTAACTCCCGTGCACACCTTAGCCAACACACTCCCCTCGTGCGCTTACTAGTGTTGTAGTTGCCCTCGCCCTCTCCTCACTTGGCTTGCACACTCACACACACTAAGGCACTTAAGTTGGCAAGGAAAGAACACTTCTATTACTTCAAAGAATGCTTTGTACAAGGCTAGCACTCAAGCTCTCTACAAGGCTCTCAAGACTTACTCTAGGACTTGTTGGTTGCAAAATGAAGTCCTACTCCTATTTATAGGCATCCCCATCCCTAATGGATGGCTAGGATGCATTTTAACCAACGGTGGAGATTGATTCTCTAGAATCTTCTTCCACATTCTACACATCTCCATACATATCTACAACATTCTAGAACCCTCCATACTACTCCACACAATTCTGGAGAATTCTAAAATCTTCCACACACCTCTAGAATATACTACACATATCTAGAATCTTCCACACAACTCTAGACTACTCCGGAAGACTCTAGAAACTCCACTTGCCATGCAGTTGCCATACAGCGTCCTCCTCAGCGTCTGCGTGTCGCCTGCGTGGCACAACCTCCATAGGCGGGGCGTGACATTCTCCCCCACCCATTTCCGTGACGCCCTCGTCACGGTTTCTTCAGCTGACCCAGCCTCTCGCAGGTCATCAGCACTTGCGCATATGTCCTTGGCCCAAACGTACGAGCGCCCTTCGGGAGATGTGAAGTCCTCACGAGCTCCATCGTGTTGACTGCCACCTCTGGACTCTCCTTCCTGCCCACGAGCGACACCATACATGCGGCCTTGCCTTCCTCGCCTCCAAGTATCATCAACGCACCAAGGCATGGTAGTGGCGCGGCGTTGTTCCTGTCCATGAACTCCAGCCCCAGCACCATGTCGTGGTCGTCCATCTCCGCAACTTGGAAGTCAGCTTTGCCCTTCCATCCTTGCATGCATAGCTCCACCTCCTTGCACACTCTACTCACGCGTGCCTCCTCGGAGTTGGCGGCCTTGATCCAGCCCTCCGTCTTGCGCATCTCCAAGCCAAGTCGTTGCGCCTCCTCCGGGGTAATGAAATTGTGTGTAGCACCCGTGTCTACCAACGCTTGCACGGCTTTGCCACCAACCTGCGCATCCACATAGCGCACCCCAGCTACCTTCTTTGCATTGCCCTTCTTCTTGGTGTCATGCGCCATGCTACTCAGCATCTGCATAGCCCCCATGCACCTATCTTCATCGCTGCCCGCATCGTCCACCCTGCCCTTGCCCTTATCCTTCACAAGGGCGCTCATGGTCTTCTTGTTGGGGCAGTGTCGCAATATGTGCGGCCCTTCGCACAAGTAGCACTTCGGCTCCCACTTGCCCTTATCGCGGTGCTCCCCTTTGCCACTAGCCTTAGACCTTTCTCCATGGTCCTTGCCTTTATCATGGCGTGGGCGTCTCTCCTCATCGCTGTGCTCATCATCACTAGACTTGGGCGAGCCCCGTTTCTTGAAGCGCCAGTCTCCCCCACCTTTGCCGTGGTCCCTCCTGGGAGACGTGGCCCTCTTGTCATCGCACCTAAAGTCTTCGAGGCGCTCCGCTATAGCCATTGCGGATGCCAAGTCTCTAGGCTCCCTCCTCCTTAGCTCCGTGGCCACCCAAGACTGCAGCCCATCAATGAACAAGCACACACGTTGCCGCTCCGGCATCTCTGGGATCTCCAGCATCAAGTTGGAGTACTCCTTCACATACTCCCTTATGCTGTCCTTCTGCTTCAGGCGCCTTAGGTTGATCATGGCGAGGTCCTCAACGCACTCAGGGTAGAACTGCCTCTTGAGCTGCCTCTTGAACTCCTCCCATGTATCAACTGCTCTTGCGCCCCTACCGGTGAAGCGCTGTCTCCACCATAGAGCGGCAGTGTCCGTGAGGTACATAGTGCCTGTCTGCACCTTCTCCTCATCATCCTCGATCTCCATGCACTCGAAGTACCGCTCCATGTGCCAGAAGAAGTTGTCAATCTGGCGAGCATTCCTTGCCCCATCGTACTCCTTGGGCTCCGGCGCCTTCTTCTTCCTTGGCTTCACCACGA